CCACCGCACGCTCCTCTCAGCACGAAGGCGGCTGAATCCTTCTGCCTCATCCCAGACCCGAAGCCTTACTGAGCCTAAGAGCGTTTCCGCTTTCTCTATGCCGGAGGAAAACCCACGCGACACTCCTTCCTCCAGGTGATCACGCTCGTCCCTCCTTCCCTCCAGGTGGTCGAGCTTGGTCCCTCCTTTCTCCAAGTCATCAAGCTCAGTCCCTCCTTCCCTCTAAGGGGCCACACTCGATCCCCTCTTCCCTCTGCATGATTACACTTGACCCCTTAGAAGCGGACCCGAGGGGGCACCCAGGTTCCAGATACCCCGGAAGCCTGGGACAGGCCCCCGTTTCCTACAGATGGGAGAGTCAGCATGTGGTGCTGGTGGGTGGGAGCTGAGATGGCAAGGGGGCACAGGCATGCTGGGGTGATCATGACACCTCCACCTAGGCAGGGGTCCCCACATGTCCATGACTGAGCTCTGTCCAACAGTGTTGCTGAGTGCTCTAGCACCGGTGGGCTGACCCATGGGGCCCTCTCCCAGATGTTCCCCACATCAGAGACGGCGGCAAGATGAGGGAGGGGAGAGGTCTCGTGTGACCATGACTGCAGTCTCATCTGTGCCCCATGACATATGGATGGGGCAGTGGGTATCTCAGGGCCTCCCAGGTCACACCAGTGACCCTCAGCAATGAGCAGGTAGCAATGCAGGGGCCCGAGGGTGCGGCATGGGGGTCTCCAGGCCACCCTGGTGGTGCCAGGCACTAGGTGGTACCAGGGCTGCCCCTGGGCTGTGGACAGAGGCTTCAGGGGACTGGCAGCAAGTCTGTGACCTGTGCAGTGTCCCGTGCGTCTCTCTCCGTTGACGCATTTCAGCCACTGCCTGCTCACTTCCTCTTGAATGTCGCTTATCTTAGAGCTCAACCTGCATGAGAGAGAGAGAGAGAGAGAGAGAGATTTACATGCGGTAAATGTAGAAATAGAGAGTCATTTGAAGGTGTTCCTGAATTTTGTGGGGGCCAGAAACCTCTATGCACCCCACACCTAGGGTGTAGACCCTGTCCTGGGCCTCCTGTGTCTTCTACAACTTCCATGTGTTGGTAGCTCATCGGATCATGGTTGTACCTTGTAAACGCTTGTGACAAGTGTTGGCAGAGTGACCTCTAGGAATCTGTGGCTGAGAGCTAGTGCCATGGGGCACAGCCCCTGCCTGGCTGTCACCACTGGTGAGGAGGTAGGTCGGGTCCTCTCAAACAGGGGTCACAAACATTTGGGTCGTGAGAGCAGCTGGGTGAGGACGGGGGGACCAAGGGGGACGGGGGAAGGGGACGGGGTCCCCTGGGGCTCAGAGCAGCAACGTTGTGTGTGTGTGTGTGTGTGTGTGTGTGTGTGTGTGTGTGTGTAGGACACCAATGGCTCGTCCACGAGGGAGAAGGCGGACATGGGGGCCAGTGGGGGGCCCCGTGGTCTGCAGCAGGCTGAGCCGGCTGGGCACTCTGTGCTCCGGGCCGCCCCTCTCCCCTTCCCGCCTCCACTCGTGTCGGTCCTGCCTTCCTGGTGGCTGAGCCTGTCCTCCATGCCCTTTGCTCCCCTGGGCCAGCGTCCTGGTCAGACTCTCATCCTCAAACCACCCGAGTCACACTTAAGAGCTCCAGGCGCCTCCTGACACCCCTGATGGCTGCCCCCCCCCAGGGATGAGTCACTGTCCCCAGGAGTAGGTACTCGCTCATTATTCCTTTGGGGTCCTTCTGCTGTGCCCAGGCCCCCAGAGCGCCGGCCCGGTACGCATCCCTGTCCTTCCCACTCATGAGCTGTGACGTGCACTCAGAGAAGTGGCGGCTCATTCCGCCTCCCTGACCCCGGCCTGCTGGCCGCTGGCCACCCCCTGGGATTAGGACCTGATCCCCCGTAGATTAATCCGAGTTTATATTTAGATGAGAGTTACCCATTAACAGAGAAGGCCAATGCTGGAGACGGGGCCGGCTGACTGCCCTTGAACCAGAACCTGCTGAAGGCGCCAGGCCCGGACCTTTGAGATTTGCACTTGGCCCCAGAAACTCCAGGCCCAGCCTGGCTCCTGCCTCTTCTGCGTTCCCACACCTGGGGTCAGGTGTGATATGTCGTTCAGGCCCCACAGGGCACACACCCTACGCCCAGACTGTGGCTGGCCGGCCCAGGGCAGGTCCTCCTTGCTCTTGGCCATTGTGGCCGCGACTGCTCCACCAGGAGATGGTCACTGGCTGCCTGTGCATGGCTGCGGGGGGTCCTGCACGTAAAGCCCCCCAGGCCTCCAGGTGGTATTCTCTCTGCTCCAGGCCCCTGTGCAATGCCGTAGTAGACAGCTGAGTCTACCAATGGCTGTGCGAGAGAGAGAGAGCTTTGGGGAGTGGGGAGGTTTCGGGGGTATTCCGGAAGCAGCAGCTGCAGCTTTGGGAGCTCTGAGCCTCACAGAAGGTGGGGAGGGGGTCAGGAAGGAGTTCAGGGGAGAACAAGGCTGCCTGCTGCCCTTTCTGGAATCTCGGCCTCTGAGTAGCCCCTGTCCTAAGGGGCTCAGAGAAATTCATTCCCTGGATTTTCTAAAAGCCTGGCAAGCTACCCGTGACGTACTCGATATGCCAAACACAGTAACAACAAGTCTCACGATGGAGACGTTACTGGGCCCGCTCGAGCAAATCGATGAACAATGGGAGGACCATGACCGTGACCGTGATAAATGAGAAACCAGAAGTGCGCTGTGTTGTGTGTTGACGGCCAGAGAAGGAAGGTTGGGAAACAGTGCGGCCACCATGGCCCTCCATGGTGGGTCAGCACAGCCGTTTACCGCCCTGGGCCCTGGCGGGGAGTTCAAACCCCACCCAGTGCTGCCCGGAGCTCCAGCCACCCGCCGCTCCCACAGCGCCCCCTGGTGGCTGTATATGCACAACACAGTAGCCCCCTGGAGCACTGAGGCCTCAGCCAGCGGCTCCCCCGGCTCCCTGCAGAGCGCTGAGGGGAGGCTGGGGGGAGAGGCATGAGGGGCAGGGAGGGGCGCCCTCGGTGGGCACTGCCACACTCTCGTGACCACAGGGTAGAGGAAGTGACGTCAGTAGATGCGGGAGCCTGGGTCCCCCTGAATGCAGCATTCACGGGGACAAAAGGCTCATTTCTCCATTCAGCACCCGTCCTCAGCTGTGTCCGCGTCTGTGGAGACAAAGCGCCCCTGTGTGTGCACACTGGTGCCGCCCGAGTGGCCCCGGGCGGGGGGCGCAGGGAGGTGAGGGGCACACAGGCTTCCGGGGGGACTTGCTGGTTCCCCGGCAGGGTGCGGAGCCCACTCTCACCTTCCACTCAGGGCAGCTTCCCCACACCCTGTCTGTCTCCCGTGGGCTCCAGGCTCCCTCCCGCTCACCACCAGTTGCCCCCATGGGCCCTTGGTGCAGCTCCCTGGCCTTGACAGTCTCTCTGAAGAAGCCCCACAGCCTGGCATCAGCAGCTTGGGTCCTTCCTGACTGGAACTCGTGTCGTGTCTCTGTGACCTCAGAGCCTCGTGGCCAGTGGGCTGGAAGCTGTCCCGGACATGCTTCTGGACGCGGCCACTCCCCTCCCAAGTGATGGCCCGCACTAGCGGCGCAGCGTCCTGGAGCCTTGTTTACTTGTCACGATGCTTCCTGGCGGCTGTTGGGGGTGGCGGGCAGTTGTCTGGCTCCGCCAGTGGCCTGGACAGGATGTAGCTGAAACGCGGAGTCGCTTCGCAGAGGGAGGGCGGTGGTGGGGCGGGCAGCCCACTGGCCTTCCGGACTCACCATCTGTCGGGAATCGGCCCTTGGAGTCCTGGAAGTGATCGACTTCGCGAGTTGAGAGGAGAATGTCCTTCTGCTCTCGGGGCAGGTGGGGTGCAGCTTCCCCTGAGCCAGCGTCTCCCTCCTCGGCGCCGCACTCGATCCCAGGATGACTCAATGCTTGGGCTGTGGGTGATGGGGACTGACTGTAGGGCCGGGGATCCCTCTGCTCCATTTCCTTGGCCCCTGTCTGTTTAACTTGTTCTAGCAGTTCTTGTTTTTGAAATATCGCCGCTCCTGACGTTCCTTTTCTCTCTGGGGGGTTTCCTTATGTTTCTGCTGATGATTCCTCCAGATGCCCTGAGAGTTCAGCACACTCGGGAGCGTTTTTGTTTCAGGAGAAAAGTCACTGAAGGGCACTGATTGCAGTGGCCAGCGCGTTTTGTGACATCAGTGCCTCACTTTCACTTCCCAAGTGATCCCGGAACACTGTTCCCCGCTTTGACTTGCTCATTACATAAGTTCCTGTTTTGGTTGCCCATGGCAGGGGTCTTCGTGTAAACCTAGGTTGAGGAGCTGGAGCGACCACACAGCAGGCAGGCACTTGCCTTGTACGTGACCAACCCTGGTCTGGTCCCCAACACCACATGTGGCCCCCCCTAAGCTCAGAGCCAGGAGAAAGCACTGAGCACTGCCAGGGTGGCTCAAAAACCGAAACCAAACAAAGCACTCGGGTTTAAATGTGTGTGTGTGCGTGTGTGTGTTGTTCAACTACTACACGCCCATACTCAGAGCCTGAGCGCTCCCACTGAGCTCCATCAGGGCTTCTTTTCTGGGTGGGTCACTTGATGAGTTAAGAGCGCAGTCCAAGGTCCCTTCCCTGACTGCGTTTAAAGGTTTTCTCCCTGACCTCAGCTCTCATGTCTTTACGATATCTGGAAATGGTTTTCTCTGTCCTTTCATCTACTGGATGCCCGAGTGTGGCAGAGCGGTGAACGAGGGCCCTGGGCAGCCTCTGGCCCAAGACAGCTGCACTGGCCCCGCGGTCTTCCCCTCCCCCTCTCCCTCCTTCCTTTCACTTGATCACAGCCTTAAACTTGCCCCTACGAACCAGCCAAGAGAAACCGCTGGTGGTGGCGGGTTCCCCGGCCAGTTCTCCATCCACGGGGCGGTGGGGGAGCCCCGGGTCTCCCCTGCTTGTATCTGCACGTCTTGGCTTGGAGAGACTGCAGCGGGCTTTCTTCCTTCCCAGGAGATGGTTTGCAGTGTGCAGTTTGGACCCATGAGGTTCCATCCAGACCAGCTTCAGGTAATGCTTCCCCCATGCTGCCCTTCTCGCGCCTGCAGGGGTGGGGCCCTGGGGTGCTCCCTGAGCTCAGAGCTCTGCTGGCTGTGACCCAACACTCATAGCGATCCTTGGGGCTAGGGAGAGGGGACAGGAATTAAGGAGCTTGTCTGGTGAGTGGCGGCACCCGGTTGGGTCAGCACCAGCCCCGGGAGTGAGCCCTGAGCGCCAACCCCGTGGTCCACACAGGTGCTGCTGGTGTTTGCTCAGGAGGACGGGCAGTGTGCTGGGTTCTGCAGGGCTTGCGAGTGGCTGGGCTTCAAGTACAGCGTGGCCAGGGAGACGCAGACCGTGCTGGGCTGCTTCCTGGACCAGCACCATGACGTCATCGTCATCGACCACCGGGCCCCGGAGAAGCTGGATGCTGAGGCTCTCTGCAGGTGAGCGGGCTGGGGGTGGGCACTGGGGGGCTGGGCACACAACACTCCTGGGCACACTTGTGTCCTGCTCCTCAGGTGTCTGGGCCAGAGTGTGGGACCCCGCCCCCTTCCCTTCTCGCTCCTCTCCATGTCTCCCACCCGCCACTCTAGCTGTGTTCAGGGCTAGAGTGGGCTGCGGTCTGGAATGTTCTCCTGTGAGACCCGTCCTGCTGGCTTCCACAGCTCAGGGTCCCCCAGGAATGAGCAAGGAGGCAAGAAGGGGACTCCAGCATGTGGGGGCACTGCCCTCCGTGACTCGCCCCTGCTTCACCCCTGCCGTTTCCCCCCCCAGGTCGATCAGATCAGCCGAGCTCTCAGAGAACACTGTGATCGTGGGCGTGGTGAGCAGGTGAGCTGGCCGGGGTGCGGACACGGTATAGTCGCAGGTGAATGGGCACACAAGCAGCAGATGTGCCCGGCGTCCCCTCCCCTCTGCCCCCCAGTGAGGCCATACACTCTGTCTCCCATCGCGTGGGGTTCGAGGATTTGGTGCTGCCTTTCCTGCCGCAGCGACTGGCAGAGCACAAGAAAATCTCATTTTTCAGAGGATGAGGACTGCAGTGGGCCCCTTCCTCGCTGCTAGGAAGCTCGGAAGCGCCAAGTCCTGCACAAATGATGAAACCTTTTACTTCACTCTGAAACTGGGGTCGGGGGCAGGAGCGTGGGGAAAACAGGACTCAGAGAATTTTACAGAAAGGGGGCAAAAAAAAAAAATAAAAGCTTCCTTTAGAAGTGTCCCTTGGACAGATCTCTCGCCAGCCACCGCAGCCCTGTTGTCTCAGCTTCAGAAAGAGAAAAATAAGGGATTAGGGCCACATGCCGGGTATGCAGCCCTCATAATGCAACCCCCCGAGGGGCCAGGGTATTCTCCGTCACTCCTGCCCTGTAGGGCCCGAGGCTCCTGAGCACTGGTAGGGAGCACCCCCAAATAATAATGATGACTGTTGCCCTGGGTGTGAAAGGGTTGAATAAGCCGGACATGGCAGAACCGAGCAGTTAAGCTGGGGTCTGGGCAGGCTGCTCCTGTGTCTGCAGTGTGTTCATGTGGGGGAGGGTGGTCTGCACTGACCCCGAGTCTGCCTCACAGGGACTGTGCTAACCCCTTGTCCCCCCCCCCCCCAGGACTAATGTGGAAGAGACGTCGGCACTGCCCCTCATTGCCGCTGGCTTCACCAGGGTAAGTCCCCTTCCGGGACACAGTCTCAGTTAGCCCAGAGCTAGCCAGAAGCGGGACCCCCCCCACCCCCGCGCCCCTGACACGTTGTGCCATCGAGTCTGGGGTGCAGACAGAGCCGTGTCCTCCGTGTTTGGTGACACGGGACGAGGTGGCCCGTGGGGGCAGGAGCGGGTGCGGGTGCCTGGTCTGCCAGATCGCAGCCTCCCGGCTCTGACCGCCCTTCTGCCCCAGAGGTACGTGGAGGACCCGAGCCCCATGGCCTGCTACAACGAGCTGTTGCAGCTGGAGTTCGGAGAGGTGCGGTCTCAGCTGAAGCTCAGGTGCGGGGCTGGGGGCACGCGGGGGCAGGCTCGGAGCTGCTCCTCCACCACTTTCTGGGATGCCCAAGAGAGGTGGGAGAGGGAGAGGGAGGAGAGGGAGGGAGGGGGGAGAAGAGAGAGGGGGAAAGAGGGAGAGTAAAGGAGTGAGAGGGAGAGAGAAAGAGGAGAGGGGGAAGAGAGAGAGGGAGAGGGGAGGGGGGAGGAAGAAGGGGAGAGAGAAGAAAGGGAAGGAGGGAGAGTGTGAACCGGAGGGAGGGGCTGTGAGAGGGGCTGTGGGAGGGGGCGGGAGAGGTGGGCACCCTTCCCCTCAATACTTGATGTGCTTTGGTTCGGGTGTGCCTGGCAGTGCTTGGGGCTCCCTCGGGGGACCAGGTGCTGGGGTGGTGCAGGAGTCAGGCCTGTGGTCTCTGTTTCGCCCCTTTGGAGGGTGCTGGGGAGGCCAGGGTCGCGCCCCCTGCTGCCTGGCAGGGCTGGGGGCTGCGTCTCCAAGGACTGAGCCCACCCTGTGCGCAGTCCTATGTACCGGCCTTTCTGGTCTGAGGAGGTGCTGGGCGTGACCGTGCCCCTGGGGAGGTACTCCTGGGGGGCGTGCTCTCCCTGCTGTCTGTGCCATCCAAGCTTGTTTGTTCTCAAAGTGAAGTAAGTGTGTGTGGGGGGGGGGGGGGGAAGGTGGAGGAAGAGAAAAGAGGGAGGGCCATGAGGGGCCTGACAGCGACAGCAGCCACGTGGGGGTCAGGTCACCGCACAGCGGGAGGACATGGGCCCAGGGCAGGATGGCCAGACAGGAGCAGCCTTGGCATGGGTGTCACCCACCGCCACCCGGAGCAGACTCCCAGGGGCCCTCAGGCGATTCCTCAAAGGAGCTGGGGTGGAGGCAACAGCAGCCTATCCGCTGCTCCTGCCCCTGTTCCCCGTCCCGCCCTGTGATGAGGCCTGACTGCCCTGTGCCCACCCTCACCCCCGGCCCTATGGCCTGCCACCCGGTTCCCCGTGACAGCCTCTCTCTCCCACAAAGGGCCTGCAACTCCGTGTTCGCGGCGCTGGAGAGGAGTCAAGAGGCTGTGGAGATCACCAGCGAGGACCACGTCATACAGGTGTGGCCCACGTGGGACAAGGCCACCACCCTCCTGTCCTTTGCCTTGTGGTCCCGGGGGCCGGACTTCCTCTCCCGCAAGCTCCACCCCCAGCGCTGCCCCTACAACTTTTCTGGAGACTGAGGTTCTGGTTTTCCCTCAGAGGGATGGCAGCACGTGTGTGACCTGCAGCTTTCTCAATGAGGGCCCTCGGGGCTGGGGCGATGGCACAGGGGTTTGATATAGGGCTCAGCATCCCACGGGTTCCCCAAGCACTGCCAGGAGTCCTGAGCACAGAGCCAGGAGCAAGGCCTTCAGCACAGCCAGGTGTGGCCCAAAAATTTCTTTAAAAAGTACAGGAATCACCAAGGTTCCTAGATGGAGGGAAAGGGGGCCCTGGGGGCCCCACAGTGAGGTCCCGCGTGCCATCTTCCCTCTCCTTTCCTACGGCTCCTTCCTGCCTGCAGAAACCCCGAGAAAGGCTGTCTTGTGGCCAGGAGTGCGACCACGGCTCTCCCTTCCCACCTAACCCGGAGTTTTTGGGGTTCAGTGGGGGGTGGGACTAGGCTGGCCCTGGGTCCCCAGGTCTCTGGGCAGGCAGCATCGCCCACGGCAGCCTGTGAACGGCGCTGGCCAGACCCAACACTCACCAGGCATCTGTCCATCCCTGTCCCCAGTATGCAAATCCGGCCTTCGAGAGCACCATGGGGTACCAGTCCGGGGAGCTTCTGGGGAAGGAGGTGGCCGAGCCTGTCCAGGAGGCAGTCCTGCTGGGCACCCTGGATGCTCCAGCCCACACAGGCAAGGTGAGGTCCCCGCACTGGCCCTGGTTCTGGGGATGCCGTCCTACTGGGGTCACCCCTGTGTGTTCTCCAGGGTGCTGTCCTCACCCGCCAGGACCCTTGCTCTGATATCCCTGGGTTCAGCTCTGATGTCCCTGGGCCTCTGCTCTGATGCCCCAATGCCCAGTTCTGATGTCCCCAGGTCCAGCTCTGACGTCCCTGGGCCCCTGCTCTGATGTCCCTGCACCCAGCTCTAATGTCCATGTGTCCAGCTCTGGTGTCTCTGTGTCCAGCTCCTATGTCCCTGTGTCCAGCTCTGATGTCCTTGCATTCAGCTCTGATGTCCCTGTGTCCAGCTCTGATGTCCGCATGCCCGGGCCCCTGCTCTGATGTCCCTGCATCCAGCTCTGATGTCCAAGCGTCCAGCTCTGATGTCCCTGCGTCCATCTCTGATGTCCCTGCTTTCAGCTTTGCAGTCCCTGTGTCCCTGCTGACGGGCCTTGTGCACTGTCTCTGTAGGAGTGGCAGGGGATCTACAGTGTCAAGAAGAAGAACGGGGACAGTGTCCAGCGGAACGTGAAGATCGTCCCTGTCGTGGGGCAGGGCGGGTGAGTGCCACGGCTGGGCCAGCTGAGCAAGGCTGGGGGAATGGTCAAGGAGCAGCCAGGGCCCTGACGGCTCTGCACAGGGCTGTGGGGGGGAGCAACAGGCTGGTCCCCCCACCCCCACCAGAGGCCACTGTCCCTCTGAGAGCAAGATGACCCCTGTCTCAGCCTGTCATGTGAGGACCCTGTGGACAAGCACACTTATAGGGCCCAGTTCCCGGTGTGACCAATGACCAAAAGTGGACACTGTCCACAATGACCACAGGTGCCACGGGGCTGGCCTGGTTCAGTAAGCCACAGGAGACCAGTGTGGACAGACGAGGAGAAAGTTCAGTGACAGGAAATGTGGCATGTGGGCTGGGCTCTCACTTAGTCCCCCATGTGACCTCCCCTGTCCTCCTGGCCAGCAGTGGGAGGGTGAGTGGCCACTGCAGCTGTGGCCACCCAGGGGACAGTCTCCTGACTCTCAGCCCTATCTGTCCCAGCCACATCTGTGGTCCTAAACGGTCAACGATTTACTCTGGTTTGCTTTGTCATTATTGGGGGACCCACACATGGGGTACTCAGAGGAGCCGCATCCCTGGGGGGCAGCACAGGTAAGCATGGGGCCTGGCCACACCCTATCCTGGGCAGGGATGCTCTGAAGCTAGCACCGAGACTCCAGGTGTCACAGACCCTTTATTTCCCTCTGGTCCCCCTGGCCAGGGCCACCAGGAAAAATAATGACTTGTTTTCTACTTGCAGAAAAATTAGACACTATGTGTCTATTATCCGAGTATGCAATGGCAACAGTAAGGTAGGTAAGGGGCCCGCCTGGGACAGCCGCCCACTGTCGCCGCCCCCAGCCCCCGCACTGACGCCTTTGCCCTTCCTCTGAAGGCTGAGAAGCGAGCAGAGTGTGCACAGCCGGACACCCGCACAGGTACATGCATGCCCCTCACCCAGCCGACACCCGCCTCTCCCAGCCATCACCACCACCTGGCCCGCCCTCACATGCCTTCCCCGTGCCCCACACGCCCCACGCAGGGGCTCACCAGTCTAGGTCCCGCGAACATTGCTCTCGTGGGCGTGTCCTGGGCTCTCCCGGGGATGGACTCGCCCTGGTGACAGCCATGGCCTGTCTGAGGCCTTGTCCTGCTGAGGGGCCAGGTACCCCAGCACTGCCTGCCGCCCCCAGTCTGGGCTCATTTTCAAAACCTGTACTTGCACTGGGAACTAGACTCACAACCTCTGAAGCCACGTGGGGCTTTGGACACAGGCCTGGATCCTGTTCCCTCTGTCCCCACCCTGGTACCACGTGCTGGTCTTGCTCCCTGCGGACTGTCAGGCAGGCTCAGAGACAGGCCTCTGGAGAGGCGGCTGACACATCCTCGTCTCCCCAGATAACCTGTCCGGCCGCTACAGAGACAGGCGGAAAACCTCCCTGGACATCAAAACGGTGACTTCCCGCACCAGTGAAGGTGAGACTGTGCCCACCAAGCAGCTCTGCCGTGGCCGCTCGCTCGGCCCATAGCCCTGGGTTCTGTGACTGCAGCACAGCCACAGCCATTCAGCCATGCCCTGCGTTCCATGGCCTCTGCTTAGCCCACAGTCCTGCGTTCCGTGGTCTCGGCATAGCCCACAGTTCTGTGTTCTGTAGCCTCTCCTTGGCCACAGTTCTGGGTCCCATGGCCACTGTTTGGCCCACAGTTCTGGGATCCGTGGCCTCTGCGTGGGCCACAGTTCTGGGTCCTGTGGCCACGGCTTGTCCACAGTTCTGGGATCCATGGCAGTGGCTGGTTCTGAGGCCTGAATGAGCACAGTAGCAGCTCTGGGCCAGTTTCTAGGATCAGCAGCATGTGGCCACCAGAAATCTACCTTAAGAAATGCAGTGGCCCCTGTGAGTCTTACTGGCCCCTTGAACACGCCCTCGCCTGGAGGCTGGGTGTAGGGTCTGCTCTGGTGACTTCCCTCTCCCTTTCAAGTCCTGACTTGGCTGAGGCAGCACACAGCCAGCTAAGGCCCCGCAGTGCTCAGGCTGTCTGTGACCCTGGCTCCCGTTTTCTCCACAGTCTCTGCCCAGAGGCGCCACTCGTCCATGGCCCGCATCCACTCCATGATCATAGAGACACCCATCACCAAGGTACAGGCGTGGGCAGGGTGCCATGGGGCTCTGCGTGTGCACATACACACACACACACGCACACATACAAATAACGCGCACACACATAGGCACATGCACACGTATCCATCATGTACGTATACGCACGCACATACACACTCACGTGGGCCAATTGGCGCCCTGCCCTCCCGCCATAGGTGATCAACATCCTGAGAGCGGCGCAGGCTGGCAGCCCCGTGCCCGTGGTGGAGGCGCTGGGCCGCGTACTGGACATCCTCAGGACCACGGAGCTCTACTCCCCTCAGTTCGGGGCCAAGGACGACGACCCTCACGCCAACGACCTGGTGGGGGGCCTTGTGGCGGTGAGTGAGGGTCGGCCAGGGCTGGGTGGGAGCGAAAGCAGACACAGCAGCCCGCTCACCTGGGGGGCTGGGGTGACAGTGCTAAGTAGAGGAAGAGACTGAAACTCTGAACTGAAGCAGGGATGAGTCTGTGCTTGGAGACTCCAGCCCGGCCTCCCCGCCCCAGACTGAGCCCCACAAGCTCCTTCGCTCTAAGTCGCGGGCGGTACCATCTGCGGGGCCTGACGCTGAGCCTGCTCCCCGTCCAATAAGGGCAATTTAGACAGCGGACGGGGAGCCCAGGAGCAGTGCTGACACCCAGCACAGCAGCGGCGGGGGAGCTGCTTCTGAGTGTCCCTGGAACGCTCTCCTGGGGTCCTCCTCCATCCTGGGGTTCTGTGTCCTTGTTTTCCCTCAGGACGGTTTACGAAGACTCTCAGGGAACGAATACGTCCTCACAACGAAGGGTAAGAGTGTGTCTTCCTGCCACTCCCCCAGTCAGCACCCCCACTGTCCCTGTCAGCCTCCCCGTCCCTGTCAGCCCCCTGTCCCCCATCAGCCCCCCGTCCCTGTCAGCCTCCCCGTCCCTGTCAGCCCCCTGTCCCCCATCAGCCCCCTGTCCCTGTCAGCCCCCTGTCCCCCATCAGCCCCCTGTCCCTGTCAGCCCCCTGTCCCCCATCAGCCCCCAGTCCCTGTCAGCCCACTGTCCCCCATCAGCCCCCCGTCCCTGTCAGCCCCCTGTCCCCCCATCAGCCCCTGTCCCTGTCAGGCCCCTGTCCCCCATCAGCCCCCCGTCCCTGTCAGCCCCCTGTTCCTCGGTCAGCCCCCCACTGTCCCCCATCAGCCCCCCTGCCCCCCAATAGCCCCCCTGTCCCGGTCAGCCCCCCTGTACTCCATCAGCCCCCCCAGTCCCCCATCAGACCCTTGTCCCTGGTCAGCCCCCCTGTCCCTGGTCAGCCCCTCACTGTCCGTCACCCCCCCCACTGTCCCCTGGTCAGCCCCCCACTGTCCCTCGGTCACCTCCCCTGCCTCACACCCCATTTCCCTGCAGCCCTCCAGCCAGTCCCCAGCCCCCCCGTGTCCCTGAAGGACATCCCCCCAAACATTGCACAGGCCTTAGAGGCTGAGGACAGCTGGGACTTCAACATCTTCGAGCTGGAGGCTGCCAGCCACAACAGGTGAGCCTGGGAACAGGTTCCAGGGGCTCAGAGGGACTGGGGTTTGGGGCCAGGTCACCTCGCCCAGGGACAGGTCAACTACAGGTGCTTCTCTGGGGCCAGCAGGCCTCGTGCCATATGCAGGAACCCACAGACCTGCAGGAGCCCCAACCCCACAATCCCTCTCTGAGCACACAGTGACCCTCAGTTCTGAGCCCTGGGGCCAGACTCCAGCCCCCTCCCCCCCCACACACAGGCACAGCCAGCACCCTGATGGCAGTGGGACTATGCTAGGAGGGACCCAGACCTGGTCATCCACACCAGGTGCTGGTCAAGGTCACGCGGCGACATCTGCCCCTTTCTTGGTGGTGACCAGAGAGCAGGCTGCCATTTCCTTCTAGGAGGACAGAGGGACAGAGCATAGCCCAGGGCCACCAGTGGAGAGGCCCCACTGCCCTGCCTTCATCCAGCATCTTCCCACAGGCCTCTTGTCTACCTGGGCCTCAAGATCTTCAGCCGCTTCGGCCTCTGTGAATTCCTGAGGTGCCCCGAGGCCACGCTGCGGGCCTGGCTGCAGACCATTGAGGCCAACTACCACACCAGCAACCCTTACCACAACTCCACACACGCAGCCGATGTGCTGCAGGCCACGGCCTACTTCCTCTACAAGGACAGGACCAAGGTGAGAAGCCCGCGGGGCCTGGCACGGGCAGCTGGGAGGGGCCCTGACAGGAGGAGAGAAACTGGGGTCTCCAGTCCTTGCTCAAGGCCCCCTGTCGAAGCTCTGCTGCCCCTGGTACCCTCTGCTGCTCAGCACTCTACCCCAGAAACTGTAGGGGCTGAAGCGTAGAAGAGGGATCTCGGATCCCAGGATGACCTCAGTGCCCAAGAAAGCCCGAGTAGGGGAGGGGTACTGACAGGGGCCACCCGGCCACAGCCCCAGCACACGATTCACACCGCCACGTGGATCTGACCGCTGACCAGGGCTCTGACTTCCCAGGGCTGGAGAGGACACCCCAAAATGCCTGAGAGGCGGGTTCTGGGGTGGGTGTGGGGGCTCTGTCTGCAGACAGTCCCCAGCCCGACGGGGCACCAACACCAGCTGCTCCAACGCCTCTTTCCAGCAAACACTCGATCACGTGGACGAGGTGGCTGCCCTCCTGGCCGCCGCCGTTCATGACGTGGACCACCCTGGGAGAACCAACTCCTTCCTGTGCAACTCGGGCAGCGAGCTGGCCATCCTGTATAACGACACGGCCGTGCTTGAGAGCCACCACGCCGCCCTGGCCTTCCAGCTTACCGCTGGGGACGCAGAGTGCAACATCTTCAAGAATGTGGACAGGTGGGGGCCAGTGACCTGTTGACCACACTGCGTGCTCAGAAACAGCTCCCACTGCTCCACCTCTGGGTCCTGCCCCTGGCCGGCCATGTCCTGCTGTCCTCTGGTTTCTGCTGACCATTGGTCAGCGGGGAACGGGAGTGGAGACAGCGCAGAACTGAGTGTGCCTCTGACTCCGAGACCCAGTGCAGGAACCAGAGTGGGCGGGGTGGGGGGCGGTGCCAACAGGGGTGCTGGGCGCCTCCCCTCAGCACACACAGCCCCCACACGTGTGTCCCCTCTGACTCCGAGACCCAGTGCAGGAACCAGAGTGGGCGGGGTGGGGGCGGTGCCGACAGGGGTGCTGGGCGCCTCCCCTCAGCACACACAGCCCCCACACGTGTGTCCCCTCTGACTCCGAGACCCAGTGCAGGAACCAGAGTGGGCGGGGTGGGGGCGGTGCCGACAGGGGTGCTGGGCGCCTCCCCTCAGCACACACAGCCCCCACACGTGTGTCCCCTCTGACTCCGAGACCCAGTGCAGGAACCAGAGTGGGCGGGGTGGGGGCAGTGCCGACAGGGGTGCTGGGCGCCTCCCCTCAGCACACACAGCCCTAGGGTACTCCGTGGCATGCAGCGGGACCCTCCCTGCTGTCCACGATGCAGAAATGAGTACCGGATGCTGAGGCAGAGCATCATCGACATGGTTCTGGCCACAGAGATGACTCGGCACTTCGAGCACGTCAACAAATTCGTCAACAGCATCAACAAGCCCTTGGCGGCCCTAGAGGAAAGCGGGGTAAGGGGCCACACAGTGGGACGGGCAGTGGGCGAGGCGGGGACACATCAGTGGGTGGGGGACAGGATGGGGGTGGAGCAGGGCTTGGCCCTGGCACCTCCAGCCCTGGTGCTGGCCCAGGCCAGCCTGGACCTGTGGCCACGAGGGCGGATCTGAAGCAAACCCCGGCCTTGCAGGAGGCAGACCCCGACGCGGTACAGACCATGCTCAGGGCGCCTGAGAGCCGGGCGCTGGTGAAGCGCATGCTGATCAAGTGTGCCGATGTGTCGAACCCCTGCCGGCCCCTGGAGCAGTGCGTGGAGTGGGCCGCCCGCATCTCTGAGGAGTACTTTGCACAGGTGAAACTCAGCCCTGATGTGCTCTGTGCTGGGAACCCCAAGTCCTGCCCCTAGACACTTGGGCGCTGGGTGGCTTCCACCAGGTTGTATACCCGGGATCATGGTCTTGTTAGTGTCATCCTGGTACCTAACCTGGCAAGACCCCGATACCAGGAGAAAACTGCAGCTGCCAGCCACCCTCACCAGCCTGAGCACGGACATGAGGGCCGAGAGACAGCACAGCGGCAGGGCACAGCCACACACTCAGCTGACCTGGCTTCATCCCCAGCATCACCTATGATCCCCCGGAAACTGTCAGGAATGATCCCTGAGCGCAGCCAGCAGTGGCCTACCTCCCCTAAAAAATGCTGTAATAACAATAGTACCAAAACGCAAGGTTCAGACCAGGAGTGCCAGTTATGGTAGAGGAGGAAAGCAAAAGATCCCTGGGCAGAGAGACAGAACAGTGGCTAAGGCACATGTCCTACATTCAGCCCACCCAGGTTGGATCCCTGGCACCTCATGGTGCCCCAAGCACTGCTGGTGGAGCTGGCATTGAGCTGAATTGGCTCGGAATTGCCAGGAAGGACCCTGAGACCTGCCAAACACAGATCAGGACCCCGCAAAACATGTAGCAAAGGAGGGCCAGGAGGAAGCTTACTCTGTGGCCTTAGGACTCCCTGCGTACCCCCAGGAGTCGGGTGTTGGGGCTGGGGTCTCTCTGTCCACCCTCGCCCCCTGGAGAAAGGCGCCATGCGGGGCTTCCCTGGCAGCTCGCAGAGCGGGCAGGAGTGTTGGGGTGCGGGCAGGAGCCCAGTTGAGACCTGCACCCTTGCCTCCAGACGGATGAGGAGAAGCAGCAGGACCTGCCGGTGGTGATGCCCGTGTTCGACCGGCAGACCTGCAGCGTGCCCCGCTCCCAGATCTCCTTCATTGACTACTTCATCACCGACATGTTCGACGCTTGGGACGGTAGGGCAACCCTGCATGGGGCCAGCTCCGGAGGAGTTAGGGGGCTGGGACCAGGGGCCTGAGGGGGCTCCCAGGCCGAGCACTGAAATCCGCCCGTGGGGTGGGGGGAGAAGCAGCTATCACCTGCAGGCCAGGCTCCATCGGGGGGTGCCCAGAGAGTGCCTGGTCCCGCTGACACTCCCTCTCTCTGCAGCCTTCGTGGGGCTCCCCAACTTGCTGCAGCACCTCGACAACAACTTCAAATACTGGAAAAGGCTGGATGAGATGGGGCTGCGGGGCTCCCAACCGCCCCCCGAGCCCTCCAAGTAGCAGGGGCATACCAGGCCCTGTCCTTCCAGGAGAGTAGAGCCTGGGGGAGGGGGCACTACCCCCAGAACACTACTGTCGTTGCCTCTCCCATGGGTGCTGGTGCTGAGCACTGAGGCCAGTCACCGGCATTATTTATTTGGTCAAAAGTGTAATATTCTCTATGGATCTGAGACTCCTCCAGAGTTACATGCAGTTCTGGACACCGCGGCCCCCTTCACAGGACGCGTGTCCATTCGGAAGCTGTCCATGCTGGACTCTGGTTCCCGTGGAACGCGCCTCCTTCTGCACTGTGCTCGCCTGATAAGCGGCCATGAGCGGGCCCAGAGCAGACTTTGGCTTGATACTGCCCCCTGCCCCCCCCCCCCCACTTTGATAAAGGCATCCCCACAAGCCTTATTTTAGATGGCACTTTTGCCAAGCAGTCCCAGGCCCACCAGTCAGTCACCAGCGGACGTCCATGCAATGCTTTACAACCACTCGATCTCCATGGGCAGGCGGCATCTCCTCAGGGTTCTCTACCTTCACGATTGGAGTAAGTAGAGTAACAAAACCACACCCCGGGACCCATCTATGCACTTGTCTCTGCATCTTAAATGTTACCTTTCATTTCCAAATGAAAACAGAAATTAAACCATACATTTTTAAGAAACCATGACATCTTCTCTCTGTAACCCAACTGGTGATCAGGGGTCGCCCGGTGTTCAGGGGAAAACGTGTAGTGCCAGGGACCAACCGTGAGCTCCAGCCCTCTCAAGTCCCTTCCTGACAGGTACTTTTTTTTTTTGTGGGTGGTGGAAAGCCACACCTGACAGTGCTCAGGGATTACTCCTGGCTCTGCATTTAGGAATTACTCTGAATGCTTGGCGGGCCATATGGGGTGCTGGGGATCAAACCTCGGTTGGTCATATGTGCAGCCTCTAAGTGAAGTTTCCCACAGATTTTAAAACTCAGGGGCCACAGTTCAATCAGCCTAATCAATGGCTGAATAAACAGCAATACTCCTACATTAAAAAAGCAAAAACTCAGGGGCCAGAGCAATAGTACAGCCTTGCATCAAGCAGGAAAGTGATGATCCCAATCAGGAAGACTAGGCTTACCCTGAGTAGGGAGACAGCAGTGACTCCCAGGAGACACCAAAACAAGGGGCCACCATGAATATAGCAATAGGTTAGGCTGCTGGTCAGAGACCTGCAGAGAGCCAGCCTGGCCACCCAGAATGGGCTCGACTCTCCGGGAGGTAGACAATTTCCCTAGTGCCCAGCAACCTACCTTCTGGCAGCAGTGGTCACCCGTGGAACCTGCTTCCTCCAGGAACAAGCCGGTACCTTCTTCCTTTCTAGAAGACTGCCATGTGCAAGCCCTCCAGCTGTCTGGGTTACTGCTGGGATCATGAACAAATGACTGAACAAGACAACACTGACTCGGTCCCTTTGGGTTTAAACAGACATGCTAGAATGTGATCACATGTGGGTCAGGGTGACATGCCCATGTACAAGGGAGGTATCATGGAAGGGAGGTATGCCAGATGTCATGGCTGGGTGGGAGGGGGGTGCAGGGCTACACGTTCCCTGGCTTTACTGTCTCCCTACTGTGCCTGTTTCTCCCAAACATAATGGATTTGGGATCCTAAGGCCAGGTGCTGTGGTTCTGGTGTGTGGGCTGCGGGGATGTGGTCACTGTGGCCCACGTGGTAGGGACAGACAGTCTCATGGCTGGGTACTGGGGCTGAGAGGCCTTGGGTTGTCGTTCCTGTGCCTGCAGTGCCCTGAGGGTGGGTGTGGGTTGGTGAGGACAAGGTCACACATGTGTGACCAAGACCAAGTGGGCTCAGGTTAGCCCCGCCCATAGGAAAAGGGGTAGTGAGATCCTAAATTAATATAGAGCAAACAGGAACTCATGCTTGGTGATGAGGTATGAAGCGGTGTGGTACTCAAAGGAGCACTGCATCGCATCAAAGTGGACTCTCTACATCAATCGGGAGCGAAGTAATCAACTCCCCCCAATCAGGAAAGAAAGCAAAACACTCCCACCCATCCGAGGTGCACCCCCACTCCCCACCCCCACCTCCCACACACCAATCAGGAAGGAAAGTAAACATCCGCTACCAATCAGGAATGAAGCAAATCAGTTTTCACCAAAGGAAAGAAAACAATTGCCAGGAAATCAGGAATCAAAGTGAACTCATTCCCATCAACAGGGAATATCTCAGACAAATCCCCAACCATGGCAGTGGAGTAATAAGCAAGTCCCCACCCATCAGATCAGAATGAAATCAGACATAAAAATAAACAGGTTCCTGACAGGAATGAAGTAAACAGTAAATACTAAGCAAGACACTGAAATTTTTTGCTTTAACTGAAAGTACAATCAGCAGCAACATTATTCACGAAGAACCTGGGTTGATGGCGTGCAAAACAAGGACCTTACCTTCCCTGTCTCTCTAGCCCTATTATTTGAGGGGGTGGGAAGGGGTGGAGGGTGGAGAGGGCCACACTGTGGATGCTCAGGGCTTACTCCTGGCTCTACACTCAGAAATCACTCCTGGTGGGGTTCGGGGGACTATATGGGGTGCCAGGGATTGAACTTGGCATGCAAGGAGAACGCTCTACCCGCTGTACTGTCTATCTCTAGTCTCATAATAATCAGAATTTTTTTTTCTTTTTGGGTCAGTGATGCTTAGAGATTACTCCTGGTTCTGCACTCAGGAATTATTTCTGGGGGTGCTCAGGGTGCCCTATAGGGTACCGGCGACTGAAACCCAGGCCAGGTGCGTGCAAGGCAAGTGCCCTTCCTGCTGCAGTTTCTCCAGCCATGTCTGTCTGATGCTTCCTCCATCTCGCCCGCTCTCTCGGTATCTTTCTCACTCTCTATCCCTCTGGGCTGCTTCAGCTTTTTTTTATTATTATTAAACTTTTTAATAGTGAGACACCATGAGGTACAGTTGTAGACTTACAAATTTTTGTGCTTGGGTTTCGATTGTACAATGATCAAATACCCATCCCTCCACCAGTGCCCATGTCCCACCACCACGGATCCCAGTATCCCTCCCTCCCCCCATCCCCCCATCCCCCCCGTCTCTGTGCTTCAGCTTTTGACTCGCAAGATTCAAGACAGTGAGCGTGGTGCAGACGCCTCCATCCCTTCGGAGCTTGAGCGAAAGGCTGTCTGGCCCCTGCGGCTCGCCTGTGCGGCGCCAAACCTCCGTGGCCCCCTCCCCAGGGATGGGCCCCTGGGGGTCGCGGCCACAGTCAGGAAGCTCTCACAGAATCGGAAACTGGAAATCAGTAACAGCGACCATTTGGAAGACTCGCAAACGCGTGGGCATTGCACAAAGGAACCCCCCGCGGGTGGCGGGGCGGGAGGGCGGCCCAGAGGTCAGTTTGTTCCTCACCTGCGCCCCGACGGGCGACAGGACGAAAGGGCCCGAGGCGGTCGACGGGCCTGCACAGTCTCGAACTAGAGTGGGCACTGCCGGTGCGCAGGTGGACTCGAGTTCTGGCCACGCCGACGCGCAGTGTCCGCGGGGACGACCCTATACACGGACACGGTCAGGGACCACCAGCGCCTGGACAGAGTCGCACGCAGACCGAGTCGGCCCGCTTTCCCTTCGAGCGCCAATCACAGCGCAGCTCGCCAGGGACACAGCAATTGGACCGCTTTGGCCCGCCCACCAGCGGAGAACCAATCAATGCACGCCGGGGGCGGGACAAACAGGCGACCGCGACACGCCCGCCCTCCCAGCACCAATCACAGCAAAGCTCGCATGTGAAGGCGCAAATAGACTGCTTTGGCCCGCCCACCTCCGGGACACCAATCAGCGCTCCCCCAGGGGCAGAGCAAACGGACTGCGCCAATCACTCCCTCTGGGGGAGGAGCTAGTGGACGCACGCGTCAGCCCGCCTAGCCTCGAATGACAAATCGCACCGGCAACTGGAGGACCGCCCACTCAGGAAGTACTTACTACTTCAGCCTCTAATAGTTTTAATTAGAATTTCCGCTGAATCTTGTTTGGCAGATGGAAGAACGGATGTTATTGGAATCCGCTGGAGACACAAAGTTTCTTCACGGAGCTTATGCGCCCCCCCCATCCCGCCACTGTAAGTCACCAGAAGATGTAAACATTGCCATGCCCAGTTCAGCCCATTTCTAACCCCCACTTCTCACCATGAATACCAGGTACCTGATGGGGGCCAACGGGAGGTGACATTTTGGCAGGATTGCATTCAGACCAGGGCCTGACCCCGTGCCAGTATTAACCCCCTAGTCTATGAGCCCAAGAGAAAAACCTTTTCTAAAGAGTAATACCAAGAATATACACAGAAAGTGAGTCCCCAGTGTCTATGGGATAAAAAGTAAACAGTTGATCAGAGTAAAGAGAAGCTCGTGACTCCTGCAGGGAGCACATTCAGCTCCAGGTCCAGTCCTGGTACTACAGGGGCCCAGGCAATCACAGGTGCACTGCCATAAGTGGGCCCCGGTGCAGTGAAAGATCTTGGGGCCGCAGAAATAGTACAACAGGTAGGGTCTTTGCCTTGCACGTGGCCCACCCCGGTTTGATCCAGCCATCACATATGGTCCCAAGCATCACCAGGAGTAATTCCTGAGCACAAGGCCAATAATAACCCGAGCATCACTGGGTGTGACCTCCAAAACAAAAGATCTCAACCCCCCTCACCCCCAGTGTATCGTCACTCTGTAACAGAAATCATTATAAGATACACCACTTGGCCAAAATGCTGTTATCATGAACTGAATAGGCCCTGCACCTCTGGGGGCAGATACAACTATTTTGGGGAGTTCCAACAGAGAAACCCAGCAACTGAGCTGAAAGCCACTAACAATCAATCCTGACTCAGGAAAGAACCAGTAGTGTAGGAGGGAGAAGCCACTAAATCCTGATCGTGCTCCCTCCCTCCTCCTTGCCAACACAGCTGTGATTCTGCATACTGGCAAAAGCACAGCAGCAGGGCCAAGCAGCACCCCACTTGTAAGAGCCAGGGGTCACGGTCATGGCTGGCAAAACATACAGGCCTCAGCGCTAGACAATCTGGTTTATAGCTGCCCTGCCCTGAGGGCAGCTGAGATGCTCCTGTTGCAGGCCACTGCAAAGGGTGCCTGGTTGCCCCCACCAGTAACCACCAACAGATGACACAGGCCAAGGTGTTTTATGAAGTTTACTGAAAATATCACAGCAAGGCAAATTTACACGGCTCCACGTGGTGTCTTAAAATTCATTCCAACGGTAGGCTGGGTGACCTGCAGGTTGGACAGACTGCCGAAGTCCTGAAAGAACAGAATAGGGTCAGTCTGGGCAGCCTGACCCCACCCTCCAATCTTGTAAGGCTGAGCCTCTTGCCAGGGAACAAATCCCTGCAAGACCCCAGCTCCCTGCACTCCAAATGCTGGAACCCAGGGAGCAGTGAATGAATGGTCGCCCCTCAGGAGCCACCCACAATTCACCACCAAAACCAAATCTTTTGTGTGATAATTAGGCGCTGGAGCAATAGTACAGCGGGTAGGGCGTTTGCCTTGCATGTAGCCGACTCGGGTTCGAATCCCGTACGGTCCCCAGAGCACTGCCAGGAGTAATTCCTGAGTGCAAAGTCAGGAGTAATCTCTGTGCATCGCTGGATGTGACCGCACCCCCCCCCCCAAAAAAAACACCACGGTTGGTTATTTCAAGAAGATGGCAGGTTTCCCATGACAGCAATTCTCTAAAGGTGGGTGCCAGAGACCCAAGAGGTTCAAAGTACCAACGATGACCTACTAGCCTTGGAAGCACTTGCTCCTGTCACAAGGACTGATACAGGAAAGGCCCACTGCAGCCCCTCAGTGTTCGAGGGTGGGTCGACCCCAAGTGGCCAACAGGAGACAGTGGGCAGGAGAGTCTGCACCCTAGGCCACTGGGAGCCCTGAGGTCCCGCCGCCCCCAGCTTGGCATTTTAAAGGAGGTGATGTCACCGAAGCCAGTGCCTTCAGGGCCCTGGAAGAGGAAGACCACGACCCCCCCCCCCCCCCCCCCGCCCCAGGTAGGGAAAGAAAAGGCCCAGGCCCTCACCAGGAGCTTCAGCATCTCTTTAGTGTCAGGGTCCACTTCAATGATCTCCTGGTCCAGGGCCGAGACCTACAGAGAAGCAAGCAGCCCCCAGGTGGTCAGCACCGGCGGAGGCCCCGGGAGCAATCCCACCGCCCCGCGGAAAGCCCCCATCAACCCCGGCCCGGCAGCTGGGCGCTTACCTCGGGCACGTAGTTGTCCCTCCGCTCCCGCTCCTCCTCCTGCAGTTTGATGGAGATGCCCCGCACGGGCCCCCTCTGGATGCGCTTCATCAGGTGCGTGACATAGCTGCGGGGGCGGCGGGCGGGGGTCAGGGGTCAGGGGTCAGGGACGCGGCCCCGCCCGGCCCCCGCCGCCCGGCCCCGGCCCCGGCCCCGGCCCGCGCCGTACCCGGCGATCTTGTTGCGGAGCTTCTTGCTGGGGATGATGGCGATCTCCTCGCACACGCGCTTGTTGGTGTGGAAGTCGTTGCCCAGGCGCGTGTAGTACTTCTCGATGATGACCCGCGCCGCCTTCTTCACGGTCTTGGTGCGAACGCGGCCCTGCGGGGGTGGGGGGTGGGGGGCACGGGGTCAAGGCCGGCGCGGGCGGCGCGGCTCCGGGGCTCCGGGGCTCGGCCGTGCGGGGCCGCGGCCGCCGCACGTCCCGCCGCACCGGGCCCCGCGCCCCCGGGGCCCCGCGCCGCTGCTGGCGGGCGGAGGGACGCCGCGAGGGGCGGATGGAGGCCGATTGCGGGCAGAGCCGCCTCGGGCGCGGGCACCTACCATGTCGGCGGGTCTCGGCGAAAGAGGAAGCAGGAAGCACCAGCGAGGCCTATAAGGCGCGGGCCAGAAGGCTTCTTCCGCCCGGGACGCGCCGGGTCCCGGCGGGCGCGCCACAGCGGCCCCTGCTGGAGCGGAGTGGAAGCGCGGCCCTGCCCTCCAGGGGGCGGTGCCTGAGCGCTGGGGGCGTGGCTTCGGGTCTGCGCCCCGCCCCCTGGGCGGAGCTGGCCTCTCACGCAGGAACATGTGGGCGGCGGGACTCGGAGACCCCAGGACCCCCGCCGCGGTCAGCGAGTTCGCGTGTGGCCTCCTGCAGGCTCCCTGCAGCTTACAAAGGCGCCCCCCCCACACACACTTTGTGCTAGCTGCTCTGGGAAGGCTCCACCCTGCAGGTGGAGGCAGCACCTGTGGACCTGCAGTGGGTTGGGGGTACCCGGGAGGGACAGGCCTCAACTGTGCTGAGCCCCCAGTCGTAGCAGGCTCCTCGCCCCCAGGGACCAGGGATACCCAAGCAACAGCATGCGTGAGCCTATGTACCCAGGTGTGATCACCCTGGCAGGGATGCCTCCAGGAGCAGGCCAAGTGCTTTGGGGTAAGGGGGATGGCCCACTAAGTCTCCAACATGCTTGTTAACTAAACTGAAGGGGCTGCTGAGTCAGCGCCAGGGTCTTGGTGCAACTGACAGCCCAGAACTGAGTCCAGGCAGTTTTTATCCATTCTCATCACATCCTCCTTGGCAACATCAACTGGCTTTCTTCTAAGCAAGTATATTTCAGTACAGAAGCTAAATGTTAACCGCGGTTTAGCCTTGGATGATTAGAAACCATTTTTTTTCTTTTCCTCACTTGGCAACTGAAAAGAGCAATGTTGGACAGCTATAAATCAGATTATCCTCAGGGTTATCTTCAGGAGTTATTCCAAGGTTATTCTCAAGGGTTATTCTTGGGGTATCCTGTCCCTGTGTCCTTGTGTCCTTAAGAGCGTCTCATCCTATTTCTCAGCTATTCTTTTGAGTCGCCTGCTTTCTCTGCTAACTTTGGGTTTTCGAGTCACACAGGAAAGGACACCTCCCCACAGTCCGCCCAGAAGTGGACACTTCCCAGCAACCCACCCAAGCTACAGAAGCTGCGAGCATCCCCACCTCTGGGCAGTTCCATTTCCTCCAACTAGGGCTAGGCTAGGTGGAGCTACGGGGGGAGGGGTCTCAGCCAGGGAGGGGCTGGCCTCCCACAGGAGGGTCCCACCCACTCCTGGCTGGAGTCTCTGTCCAGAGCGCGCGCGCGCACACACACACACACACACACACACACACACACACACACACTGACACAGACCAGGCCAGGGTTATGCTGCAACATGTTTATTGTGTACCCAAAAACACAGCACAGCTCACTCCACAGGACTGTAGAGTGCAGTCTTTCTGCGGACACTGCAGTGAGGTAGAGACTCCACACAGCTTCCCACACGCACAGGGCAGGGGGGGTATGCAAAGACGCATGTATTCAGCCAAGGGGAGGGGCTCACAGGGTTTCTTTGGCACACAGCTTCCCAACAGGGGTAAGGTTTGGTTAAGGGGGAAAAAAATTTAAAAAGAAAGGAAAAGTCACGTTTTCACATTCTAATCACATTTCAGTACCGGTAGCTGTGGCTTCATCGATTCTCCAGGAACGAAATAAGGAAGGGTACCTGCCGCCCCTTCCCCGAGCCTAAAACCTGCCCCATCAAAAAACAGCCCTTTCTCGCACAGTTAAAAAAGAAAATAGTCCTGTGAGTTTGTGATTGAAACGTCTTCTCAACCTCCCTCCCCCACGCAAGTGCAACAGAAGAAGGTGCAGTAAACGGTCAAAACTATGTACAGCAGCCGCTGGCTCGTGTGCTGGCTGTCCGTCACTTTCAGATTCCCCATTTTCTTTTTTGGTTACAAAAATTCTTGATCTGCAGCCCGAGACAGTGACCAGCAGTCCCCAGACACAAAGATGCTATGTTAAAACCGCCAGAAAAGAAAAGAAAATCTCTTGTTTCAAACGACTGAACTGTTTTAAGGAGTGTAAAAAGTGACTAGTAAAAACCCTCAAGCATAATATATGAAATATGATTTTGGTTTAAATGAAGAGCAAAGTCTCCTTGTTGTGTAAGTAAAAAACACCAGCTGAACACTCAAGTTTATGCCGTTCAGGTGGGGGTAAATCAATGGAAAGGCACTATCCGGCAACTGCAGAAAGCAGCGAGGCCTGCACGTCGTCGTCGTCACCAGTATTGCAGGAATGTAAAAAAGCTCTTTCAATAAATAGGCATCGTGGCAATACTTCCTGGACAGGTAGTTCCTTTTTTGCTTTTCATCGGCAAATGGGGAAATAAAATCTGGGAGACTACAGAGTCACCTGGAGAGTGAGCCGGAGGCTGCTTCCCCTGGCGCACCCCGGAAAACGAAACCTGGAAAACGCATTGTGCATTACTCAGTGCAGAAACAAAGACGATTCAGCAAGTGCAAAGGCTCCCTGGTCACCGTGGCAGGGGTAGAGGCTGCTGCCCAGCCGGCCAGTCTAGCTGGATTCCCGGTTCTTCTGATTCCGCATCAGGGGCCTGTGGTGGTACAGACCCTCCCCGCTGTGTTGCCAGTACCAGCAGTTCCGGCAGAAGTACTTGAAGCACACCTGGGGGAGGAGGGGAGGCATCAGGGCAGCAGCCGTTGCACTGGTGCCCAGGGGCCCCGAGTGTCATGGGAGAGGAGCCCCATGAGCACATGCCATCTGTCTCTGGGCCCACGAGCAGAGCCAGCCCCGGGGGCAAGACCCAGCTCAGAGCTAGGCTGGCCAGGGGACAGGGACTCGGAGAGCTGAGAAAGGCCTGGAACAGGCGCTGGGCCCTGCCAGTGAGCCGCAGCTTCCCCAACTTTCCCACCACCCGCAAGCCTGCCTGACAGAGCTCAGCAAGCCCCCCACTCTGAGTTCTGAGGGAGCCAGGAGCACCTCTGGACTATGCGCACTGCTGCCCACCCCAAACAAACATGGGGGCCAACCTGGCTCCAACACAGCCTCAGTCCTTGTTTAGGGGCAACTCCTGGCTCTGTGCCCAGAGGCCCATGAGGGGCTGAGGACTGAGCCAAGCTCCCAGCACTCCCATCACCTGCACTGCCCTCTCCACCGCCCCCCGCCCCCCGCCAAGCTGGACTGGGCACGCTTACCTAAGGGGCTGCCCAAACTCACATGTGCAACTCACCTGGTCCCGGCAGAAGAAGGGGCCGGACTGTAAGCTACAGATGTGGCACAGGGAGTCTTCCAGGTAAGGGTCAATCTGGATCTGCAGAGAGGAGGAGGAGAATGCAGGCACTATGCTCTGGTCTCTAGGCCTTCTGGCTCATGGAGAATGGGAGCACTGGGGCCAAGGGCCAGCCACTACCATCAGAGCAGCATCGTGACACTCTCTGAGCCTCCTTGGCAAAGGGACTACCCAAGCCAGCGAGGCTGCTGTATTGCCACAGCAGGAAGGCACCCACAGGAAGGCCGAATCCCTCCCCCACCCCAAGACCTCTCCATCCCACCTCCCCCAGCCCCCTGCCACCATCTCACCTTCTTAGTGAACTTATTAGTTCTTATCTCCACAAAGGCAGCACTGACTGCTTTCAGGTAACTGTGCTGGTTGTTGAAAGTTACACGGCCAGACCCTGGAACGACAGAGGTGGCAGCCTATAAGCACTAGCAGCAGCCCTGCCCTGGGTGGCAAAGGACAGAATTGGAAGCCCTCCCTGTATGCTTCCCAGCTGCCAGGCTCGAGCACAAAGGAAGTGACTGCGTCTCATCTGACCCGAAGTGATCAAAAATGTGGCCAAGAGCTAGACTGCAAGTGCCCCGACCTCAGGCCCTGCTGCCCTATCCCACAGCGTGGGCAGCACCAGGCCCCTCCCCAGTGGGCAGGATGTGGGGCCAGACAGAGAAGCCTCTGAGGACTTGTCCCGGGCAGAAACCCAGGTGCACTCAGACCACTCTGTGGGCAGGCCTGGGCACACGGGGGCCAAGAAGCCATGCTAGAGTCGTGGCCTCTAAAGCCCACCACACAGGGAAGCCCACCCTGCAGAGGAAAAGCTGAGAAGAGACGGAGCTGGCTCACACCCCCACCATGAGGCACTTTTTCTCCTGTCTAACTACATGGCCAAGCCTGGCTGGCAGGGCTGCCCTCTCTGGTCCCACCACATGAGCAGAGGTGGACTGTGGCCAGCTGCGTCCTGTGCCACCCCATGTCCCAGCACAGAGTGGGCCCTCCCTCACCAATGGGGTACTTGTGCCTGTCGGTGTCGATGCCGGCGTACGTCACTCCCCCGAAGAGGTCGTTGAGGATGGTCGCCAGGGCCTCTGCATTGAGTATCCCATGCAGCGCGCCCACAAACACGGTCCTGTTGAGGTCCATCCTCTGAGTCGGGGTCCGTACAAAGTTGCTATCCGCTACCACCCAGGGGATCACTTGCACCTGAAAATCAGCCTAAAGTGGGTGAGTCCAGGCAGAACAGAGGCAAAGCAGCGTTTCTGCGCACATACTGACGGGCCCAGCGTCAGACGCTGCACTCTCACTCAGGCCTCCCTACCCACCCTGAGTCTAGGCATCAGATGGGGTGAGCGTCAAGTGGGGAGCAGCCTGCACAGTCACTGAGAACCAGCACCACACCCACCGACAACGGGGCCCCGCAAAGGGTAGGGGCCTGACATCTGTGGCCTGGGGCATCTGAAAAGGAAAGGGCTGATTCTGCAGGCACACAGGCTTGTGTCTGGAGACCGGGGGACAGAGACGACACACTGGACAAGTAGGACCAAGGTGAGCGCCCACCTCCTTGCAGGGCATTCTCCGGCTGGACATCTTGTAGTAGTATTCGCTCAGGCCGACAGGGCTCAGCGGGTCGTGGGAGCAGGCCTGCAGCAGGGCGCGAACAGACCTCTCCTGCTTGAAGACCAGGTACACGTATCCTGCTCCCAAGGAAGCGGCCGTCAGTGCCCTGGGAGCAGAGTGCGTGGGGTGCAGGCCAGGCTCTGCTCAGGGAGCCCAGGCACAGGGAGGGGCTGCGCAGAGGTGGGTCCCAC